ATGTCAGTTGCAACGTAGAACTTCGTACGTATGTACATAAGTTCATGTTGCCATACCACATTATTAGCACAGAGACGCAAATGTCAAATCAAATCCCCTAGTGATCCAGATGGTAGAGGTATTAATGTTAATAAAGAAGACTAGGGTTTAAGATATTATTCAAAAAAAAAAATAATTCAGTGAGATAAGGTTAGAAAGACAAAGGTAAAGGTGCTGGCTAATCCAGAAGATTAGGATTTGAGAGAGCTCAAAGAGTGGATGCACCTGCGCCATTGTAAACGATTTTGAGCCATGTCGTTCAAGGTCTCTAACCATTGATGACTTTCGTCTCGCGGACCCCAACCAGGTAGTCTACATCTACCAACATGACTCAGTCCACTTGTCAGAGACTTCATGGATTTGTGCCATGTTTTGGTCTGGCCGCCCCTAACTTTCTTCCAACCTACTCCTATGCCACAAAACATAGCTCGTCGAGGCAGTCGGTGGTTAGGCATACGTAACACATGTCCCAACCACCTTAACTGATGAAGTTTCACCACTTCATCTATTGATCTGCGATCCTTACCTAGTACTCGTTTCCTAACGACAGCATTGCTTACTCGGCTGTCCCACGATATACGAGCAATGCTTCTTAAACATCTATGATCGAATACTAGTAACCTACGAACATCTTCTACTCTTAACGGCCATGTTTCACAGCCATATAATAGAACGGAACGAACTGCTGCGCAGTACACCCGCCCTTTGGTTAGCGAACGGATATCACGCCTACGGCATAAGTGACGCAGGTTGGCAAAAGCCAATCGAGCTTTCTGTATCCGAGCTGAGATAGACATAAAAGTTATGTTAATTGCCCGGTATTAAATTTCAGAATTTCGCGTCTGAAATGTCTCATATCATAAATGTAGGCCGTCAATTCAATTAAAAGGTTACTTAAGATGATTAGTCCTAACCAATAGACTATAGTTTAATGCAAAATACAAAATATGTTGTTTTGTTTTCCTAAATTCATATTCAGAATCTAGTTGCGGTCATTCGTTTGACTTTAACTTGTCTATATGTAAAGGTGACACGTATATTGGACACAAAATTCTAAGGAACGCAGCATAGTCCTAGCCAAGGAAGCCTATTGTTTGATGTGACGTAAGGTTCAAACATTCAAGCCTCCAAGATGTAGTTTAGAGAGTGGTTTTAGGAGACCAGGAGTAACATTTCGTAAATTCAAATTGTCAGTACTGGTGACACAAATATAATAGTGAAACCATATCAGAAAGTTTGATAGTAAAGATGAAAAAGTGACGGAACGCTGAAAATTAGGATTTGAAGGATTAGTACTGACTGCATTATTGAATTCCATACTTTCTTGGACACCTTGCACAATTATATTTCTTCCGCGAAAGAACGTTTCGCGAGACTTTTGGGTTGTCGCGTATGAGAATAAGTTCCGAATATGGTATATCAGGCAATATCCTCACACCCCCTTTAGATTTTATCAAGTGACTTCAAACGCAAGTATTCAATTTATGTTACATTATTTCGCATATTATGCATAAAAATGGAATTAAAAAGACGAAAAAGGATAACAACCATCTTTTCAGTAATGGACAGTATTTTCTTCCCATGGTTGACATAATGGTAAATAGTATTATATCAGGATAGAACGTTAAGTATATGTGAATAGGTTAACCGCTTCACCTTGGTAAGTTACTTTAATCATTATGAGCTGGTGATAAACAAAATTTGCGGTGTTTTGTTCATCTGCTAAGTTAACGCCTATATTTTTGTTATAAATCAAGAATTTCTTTTTAACTTAATGAAAACATTGTAACTTTTATACAACCAATCCTCTCAGAGTGATGATTCACCAATAGAAGTAAATGACATTGTATTCGGAAGTTCTGTCTTCAGTTCACCTAATCCTGAAGGAGATTTTGTGAGTAACATTTTTATTAACATTATTTCTTTTACTGTTAATATTTAGCTGGTTATAGACTAATTGTTATGCTATCCAGAATGTGAATTAAAATATGTGTAGACTGCAGTCAGTAAAGTAATCGCGAACCCATTGACAACTTATTTTATCATGGAAGTCTCACCAACGTTGATAGACTGTTGGTCAACAGGATCTCGGTCCAGATACTAAAACATACATAGGTTTTTCTTAACTTACACCACTGGTGTGAACAAGAGGTCTTCTATATGGCATCCTCTGTATTACTCTAAAACTAACTGTAAGTGAAGAAGACTTAGGCTGATTGAGTATCTGATCAGCTGATTCTTTTTTTCAGATTGAGTACACTTTCCAAGAGTCTTGGGGTATCATTTTCCAATAATTTCCGTTTCCATAAATGAATTATATTAGCTTAATATTTCGAAGCTATTATCCTTTTCATATTACTACTTATCAATTATATTACTTTTTCCTAGGCTATGATAAATAAAATAATTAAAACAAAACACGTTACTTTCGTTTAAGATTGAAACACTAATAAAAATAATCAATCAATCAATCAACAGCAACGTAGAACTTCGTACGTAAGCACGTACATCAATTCAAGTTACCATGCCACATTAGCACAGAGATGTAATAGTCAATTCAAATCCCATAGTAGTAGAGGTAGTATTAGCAGTAATCAGAGAGATTAGGGTTCGATGATATTATTCAAGAAGTAGAATTTAGTGAAACAAACTTAAAAAGAAAAAGATAAAGTGATGAGGAATTAAGAAGGTTAGGATTTGAGAGAATACAAAAATGAATGCACCTGCGTCATTGCAAACGCTTTTGAGCCATGTCATTCAAGGTCTCTAACCATCGATTATTATCATCTCGCGGACCCCAACCAGGTAGCCTACATCTACCAACATGACTCAGTCCACTTGTCAGTGACTTCATGGATTTGTGCCATGTTTTGGTCTGGCCGCCCCTAGCTTTCGTCCAACCTATTCCTACATTGCGAAACATAGCTCGACGAGACAGTCTCTGGTTAGGCATATCAAGTCTTTGGTAAATTTTCACTTATTTAAAGGATAATTTGACTGCATTACTGAGATATATATGTAATCTGTTTTAGTAATAACTTTCCTTGAATTAATTTACACGATAATTTCAGTTCGACTAGACAGATAATAAAAAAAAGAAACAACTCAATAACATGCTCTTTGTAAATCATGTTTACTTTGACGTATTTTATTACTTAAAAACAGATCATTGTGAAATCCGATGGTATGCCTGTTTATCATTTAGCCAATGTCATTGATGATCATTATATGGAAATTAGTCATGTTATTCGAGGCTTTGTAAGTTGATGATAATTCTTTTTTCTGTGTTTTTGCTCCCTCTCTCTCTCTCTCTAATTCTATTTTAATTGATGCTGAATTTAGCAAATAATGAATGGCCACTCTGGCTAAACATCGAGCTCAATAGGTAATAATCATGATCAGTGTGTTGTACTCTTTGTAGAGTTTTTCAAAAGTAGTCAATGGGAAATGCATAATCTGGACACCAGTTAAATGAAGCAAAATACGACTATAATTAGTATTGCAGTTCTCCTTAATGGTTTTACAAAGGCAGTATGGTGAGAATGACATTGTATTCATTTGATCAAAATATTTTGGAATTGATTCCTGTATACTTTCTGTTCAGATTAGCATTCTGAAATAAAATTCTAACTAAGGAATAGTTTTATATTGTTATAAACTGAAGTAATTTTTACATTCTTGAGAATAGTAATCACTGTTTTGACTCTGCCTCATTTAATTCTTTGAATAGCGGTTTTCTTCGCTTAAGCATCTTTTAGTGTTTATTTGGCGGCCTGCTTCAATATCTGGGCTGTATGTCTTCTAACATCTAAATATTATCAACAAGTTGCCTCTTTTTGTTTGTCTTAATTTAATCAACTCTCTGTTAATCGTATAATCTATTCCGGCGCGTACATAGAAAGTTTAACACATATCGCTTCACAAAAACGTATAATCCGAGACATCGAGCTGGATAGCAGTATGCATTGAAAAGGAAACTTGTTAAAATATTCCGTGCTGAGAATTCCATATTGTACTAAGGATGTTTTGATGAACAGTTGAAATATTTTTGTGACCCTACTTTCTCTTTTCCAGTCAAAATAAACTCGTATCAGTTTAACCGTAGGCGTTCCGTCTGTAATTAAATGCAGAATAAATCACAAAAGCGGTAACCAAATGGACCAATAAACAGTTGACGGATGAAACAGCTTGAAAACTGATAGTTAGTACCAGCTGCTGTGATAGAGTTTCATACATATCCTAAATACGATATTTAATATATGACTTTTAGTTATGGGCAATGGTTTTATTGTTGGAAATTCAAAATTATATGTATGGCCAGTTAGGTGTGATCGATCGAATCACGATGTTCCGTAACCTCCACTTTAGTACTAGTCAGCTTGAAAATGTTGCATTACATCCTACCCACATTTTGTCAGTGAAGTTGTTTTTAAGTAGTTTAATTACTGACTGTGTGATGTAGCCTTGTGGTCAGAGTTTTTTCGGATGAAATAAATTAGTAACCTAAATTTCTGTGTGACATGGTTCCAAATTGATTATGTTGGTTTGACTCTTCTGTAGCGTAATTTTTGTCCTCATTTTTCTACTGTAAAAATTTTATCTCTCTGTACTGTTGTAACATGCATCAACTTGAACTTTTGTACAAACGTTAGTATATGTTATTTAGTATATTTCAACCAATACAGTTGAACATGTTTATCCGGAAAATGATGAGATTAAGATTTCATTGTCAAACAGTAAAATATCTAAGTTTTACAAGTTAAACTTCACAATAAGGAAGCTGAAAAATATGAAAGTTAGACAGTAAATATATATAAATAGAGATTTAAAAGTATAAACTAATGCTTCAAGTTGCTTGTTATTTGTTGAAAAGTCAATATACTGAAGAAAACTTACCAGGTCGTCTGTCAACGTGTTTACTTGTGATTCATCTACCACATGAAAGCCCTCTTTCTTGAGAGCAATACCTTCCTTCATATAAAATCAATCAAGTCCATGGTTTAATTCTATATTGAAGTCAATATTGTGGAGACTTTATTCCGAATCACACTTTGAAAGATAGGTTTTTTAAATCATATTTAACGAGTGACTACACACTATTTTCCGTCTTATAATACATTTTGTTAGGAAATATCAGTGCTCACCTATAATTTCTTAATTTTTGCACTGTCCAAAGTTATCTCCATGACGTTTACTATCATCTCTATAGTCATAGAGTATTGAGTTTTGTTGTCTGATCATGAAAGAAAGGGCTTATCAAACACCCAGGTGAATCCAAACCATGTAAACGCTCATTTCATATATCAAAATGTATAGAATGCTAATTTACTCTACCCAAAATATTTTTAATCTATTCTTACCTTTAAATGTAGGAATGGCTTAGTTCCACGCCTAAGCATTTGATGTTATACAAAGCCCTAAATTGGTTACCTCCGCAGTTTGCACATCTTCCTCTGTTACTTTCCAGGTTAGTGTTAAATGTCTTCTTTTTAGTTTCTTATGATTTTGAGTAGTCAGTCACCGTAAATACATACATTTGCCGAGTTATAGTTTTGAAGTCTTAATATTTCTAAACAACTATAATCATGTGTTATGACTTGTCTCATCTACTTGGGTTTACGCAGTTAAGTTAACTAGTGAACTACTTTTCATTGGTGGTCCACGAAACGGTTAAAAAATTACACTGCACATGTGCTTTTTTAGTTAATTTGAGCATTTCTTTTTTTCTGTTATATCAATTTAGTTCAGGTGGTAAATTGTCTAAACGCAGTCCAGAATTTTCTCTTATCGGTAGAGTCCAAAGTTTGCGTAAAGCTGGTTATTTACCGTCTGCTATCTTGAATTGGCTAACATCTACTGGAGGTGGTGCCTGTCATGATGATTCGAGTGAAAACGGTGACTTCTCGCATAAATGGAGTCCTGAATTAGAATTTTCTGAATTAGTTTCTCGAGTAAGTTACAATTTTATATATGTTTGCTTTTAATTATTTAGACGCCTTTGATACATGATTTTTATGTCATTTCCGTCGAAAACTGGAATTCGTATCTCCAAATATATTAGTCATACTATTTCACGCACATAAATTTCAAGTGCCTGTTCCAATACTGTTAAGGAATAAAGCATTCGTCTAGATAACTTCTCAGAATACTTGTAGATTCCGTTTAAAAGCTAGGAGATGGCTAATAGAATATTTTTCAAGCCTTATCGATAACTTCATTTGCTCCCTTTTTCAAAATGAGATAAAGATGATCAATAATTCATCAAAAAATATCTAAAATTACCGTTCTTTCTTTTACAATCATTTTAAGTGGTGAGCATAGTTAGAGGGTAGATTTACTAAGCGTTTATACAACAGTCATAAAAAAGTGGAAAGTTTCTATTTCAGTGTAAACTACCAAATATCTTTATCTATAAAAGCAATATTCTGAAGTTTTCGTAGTAATCTCATTGACGGACAGCAGGTAGTTATAGATTTCAAGAATAAACGAGCAAAATTATCGATGAAATGCTTTGAAATTGAGCTCAACTGAATCAAATAGAATTGGTGACTCAAAGCCGTGTGTACTGATCTATTATACTTGGTTTGTCGCATCATCACATAAATTCAGAAAAACATCCATCTCTGCCATATTTTATAAGTCGGGTAAAGCCGAATTCTCGTGGATTTTTTTCAATCACTTGATAAAATTGTTGTTATAGTACCCAGTTATAGTACTTATGTACGTACAAAGTTCTACGTTGTAACTGACCAACTCAATTATTATAGCGAAAGTATTTCTATCTTCATTGTGGCTAGCAAACAATTTTAAACTTCATTTCACCGAATACTATATATTTTAATATATTTTATGTTTGATTTTAAATGAATCAATCAGCTTTGAAATATACCACCTTGATTATTCTATATAGTTTAACTTAAGCCATGTCAATCGTCATAACGCTCATTTATCAATAGATATGTTAAAAATATGCGGTCAATCACATTTTGATAAAGCTATAAACAATGCATTGAATTATTGTATCATGCATCAAAAACAAGATAATCAAGCTACTTATTATAAAACTCCACAAATACTGAAGACAATTGATGAATATTTACAATTAAATGGAGAAAATGTTTCCATTCTTAAAAGGTAAGATGCACAGTATGATTATATTTTATGCAGTTTTTTTTCTGATCATCTGGTTATATGAATTGTCATTTTCGATAAATAAATGCGCCAAGAATGTTTAGTCAGATTTTGTGTTCTCACTTTTAATACTTGCAATATTGTTTAAATTTGTGTTCTGTTTCACTAGCAACGATCTGATAGAATGCGATTAGCCAGTATATTCGTGTATTTTGTTTATCTTCTCAATCGAGCATTATTAAATCTATCATGATATGATGTCATTCAAGTAAAATTCTAAAGCCTTATAGTTATTACTCTAAATCTTAACTGAGTTCCAATTGATAAGTCTGCTAAATGAACGCAAGATCTGATCTCTTATCCGCTCCTAATAACCCCGGACTAAATCTACGCTGTAACTTGAATACAAGAGAAAAGGTGCGAAGTACAAAGATGCTTTATGTCAAGGTTAGTTTGTATATGAAAGAATCAGGGTATTTATAGAGTCATTCATGATCTTGGACTTCGGGAAGTTCCGCGAATCATACTAAATATAGTAGCGGTGTGGTTATATATCCAGTTAGGATCGCAGTACGTGATTCTGCATTCTTTAGATGTTTCTGTGAAGGTTCTATCCAATGACGATTGGGTGAAACATCCCCTGGAGTTTCTGAGTCTCTATAGACTATTGCAAGGAATATTTCGGCGCTCCGCAACACCAATAACCTTTTTGTCGTTATCACTTAAAGTATACTAGCATTTTACTCTACTTTGGTGGATAGTCGTAGAAAAGAGACTGTCAGATTATAGTTTCACTGCGGTTGGTATTATTCACGGCAGTACATGTAAACATATCTGCCGTGTTATCAGAAATGCACAACACGAACTTAGACACTATCACTGACGATTAACAAAATACCGGATTCATGTTCAATTAATATCTACAACACCTACACATCACATCTACGCATGTAAGATATGTATATAATTAAGACCAACTTTATAGCATCTCCTAATCATCAGCTAGCTTTGTTTACATAAGTAAAGTATACGAGGAAATATGTGAGCTGATAGGGATTACGTGCATAACTTTGTAATTCAAATAATAAGCGAAAACCATCCATACATAAGACAATAACAGTGGAAAATGAATCAGTTTAACATATCGTCAATGACTCATAAAATAAAGGGACACATTATTCACACAGGAGAGGACGGATAGCAAGTAATAGATTTTGAAAAGTGTTCGAGTCATAGCGATGTTATTTGGATCAGATCAGCAAAACTAGTGATTCACTTCTATGCAGTCATTTATCATGCTAGTGTTATGGTTTGAGAAACAGTTAATTGTACCATTATTGACGGTTTTTGATTGGCGAAAGCTGTAGCTTAGGGTATTTGGGAACTCATACTGACTACGGAGGGCAGTGCAGAAGAGTATGCTCTACTCGCCGGCTGATTGTCGTACACTTTAAAAGCAATATTTGAGCAGTTTTATTTGTAATAGTTATTTCAGATACGTGCAGTTCCTTCTTGTTGTACAGACTAATTCTTTTCATTCATATCCATAGTCAATCTGCTCAAAATGATTTGGATGTGTTACAACGATTACAACTCTTAAAATGTCGTGTTCATTGTTTGAATGACTTGGTCAACTCCGATAATGGTTTCTTGTTTATGTGGAAGTCTCCAGATTTGGTTACTTGTGGAGACATCATCAATAGTAATCCTATCAACACACCTTTACAAGATGTACTCAGATTATGTAGATGTTTTGTTGAGGAGATGAATCATATTCTTCAAAACGAACGTGCAAATGATAACATAAAATTGACCCCCGATATTATAACGACTTTCCTTCAGAATATCGGCGAACGTTCAGGAATTAAACGCAAGGATTTATTGCGCCTAATCAGATTAGGCCTTACAGGATTCGAGGTAAGTGTTTAGATAATTCACAAACATATTTTTCCGTAAACGAAGCTAACTTTTTAGTGTTGACTAGCAATGCGATATAAGGAGTGCAGTCGTATTTTCTACGTAGCATTATTCATTCATTCTTAATTATAAGTACAATCTTTGCTATATGAGCGCAATATCCCTCACTTGAAAGTATACCATTTTTTTATGTAATACCTTCCTAAAAATGTTTGCCAACTTATTTATCGATGAATCCATAATCTAAAGTTTGGTTCAAATATAATTGTGGCTAAGGACTTTGAGCGGTCATCAAAGTGGCCGAATTCATTATAGGGTGATAAAATAATCGAGTAATTTAAACCTGGTGATTAGAAGACACTTTTTATGACTTCCTTGGTACAAAAATATGTTAGTTATATTGAAGAATTTTTGTTTTGCATTCTTGAGAAAAGTTACATAATATTACGTTGGTCTCTTCGCACTCACACAACACTAAATGTGTGGTTAGACCTTTTGTTTACAATTCATTTGGTTAACTGACTACTGCCTTCACCCTAACTTTTACTGTTCATTGGCGCTATCATTTGAGTTAACATTATATTAGGTTGACAGTAGTATTGCGAAGACAACTGGTTGGTTTCAGTGAATTAATAAAAATGTCTAACTAAGATCACTCAAAATTTAAAATTTTTTTATAACAATTAACAGTACTTTATAAAACCTATTTATTATCTGTGAATATATTTAGATTGGGCCACCTGTGGTTGAAATTATTCAATTGTTGTCCATACCAGAAGCGACTAATCGGATAAACAATCTACATAATTTTCTATTACAAAAAGATTCTACCTCTCAATTACAAGAAGCTTTGTAAACTTGGATATAGTCAATCTTGCTATTTTTTTCTTAATATGTATATTTCAATCGATTTCTAATTTAAAATCAATAAAAGTTAACTAAATCTCTATATAAATTATTGTAATTCTTAATGTAGTGTTCGTTTTCTTTGAGCTCGTAAAGTTAATGTAAATGCTACTAGAAATGCTTCAGAAAGTGAACATATTCAGTCAAACATATCATAGTAGTCAAAATTTTACGAGGGAAAACTCATTATACATTACGAAGCTTAAAGACTCACGATAAGTTGTATGAGTCTTTGAGATGTTAATAATTTACTTACGTTTTGGATGCTTGATTTCCAATATGTTATGAATTTGAGCTCTACTCAGACTAACTGTCGGTTAATATTTTTAGGTCTGACAAGCCTACTGTGATAAAGTTTGTTACCTACAGGTTTCTTAAAACTAAAAACTAGGAAGCTCAAACAAATTGTATGTAACTCTACGAATCAGTTAGATTGCGAAACGTGTTTGTTTTTCAAATCATGTTGAAGGGTATATTAGAGGATATTCGCTAACGATTCAAGCAATACCAATTTGAAAATGCGTTAGTCTAGTGAGTTTACAACTTCTGAATTGAAATTTCAAGGAATCCCAAATAATCTGCAAAATCACAATTCCCAAAATGTTATCTAGATAAGTGACCTAAATGGAAGTTAAGTTTTTAATTCAGAAGGCCTTTAGGTTGTATTGCGCAACTGCGAATTCAGGGTAGGAGGGCAGTAAGCATTTCGGATAATTATCTGAAATTTTGACACTTGAATGGCTTTTCTTCCCGTTTCAGAAACATTCGACGCTCAACACGATCTACCTTTCTAATAAATTTGATTCCTGTCTTAGACAAAATTACGGAAAATATCATATCTGTCGGCACCTTACAAGTAGGTGTAGATGGGACTGCATTCAGTTCCATCTAATACTCGAATGACGATAGAAGAAATGAATATTATCCTGGTTAGCTGTGTTAATGGAACCTTTGTTCTATGGGATTTTATAGCTCTGCTTAATTCTACATCCTTTTCCCAAATACTTCGTGGCATTCTTCGACTCAGTATTAAGCAATGCTCAGATTGAACACAATGTTAAGAAAACTATTTGTCCAATTATTGTCGATCAGTATTTAGTCAATTAAACTGTAATACGAATACAAGGGGTAGGAATTTTTTTGGATATACAGTCTATTACAGGTCAAACTTTTTCCTGTTAAGATCCAAAATCAACTGAGATTAATATTGATAGTTCGATTTGTTGGAGTGAATTTTCTATGAAAATACACAACATTAAGAAATATGAAGTCGTACCTTAGGCTGACACCGGCTTTATTAAATAAATATTTAGCTGCTTGGTTAGATTCTGTTCCATTTTTCTTATCCGAATAATACACCACTTCTTTAATTCCCGTTTGTATAATCACTTTAGCACATTCATTACATGGGAACATTGTTGTGAATATTGTACAACCTTTAGATTGAGCTTCGTTACGATTCAGTACTGCATTCAACTCTGCATGACAAACTACAATTCTCTTTAATAAAAAAATGTTGAAAAAAATATTAAACAACATACCATAAAGATATTTATTCTCCAGTTGACATGTTGATTCTTTTCCCCAAGGAACATCATCGTCTGAAATACCGTTAGGCATGCCATTATAACCTATTCCAACAATTTTCTTTTCTTCATTAACTATACAAGCACCCACCTAAATTCAAATAATAAAGAAAACAAACAGAACAGACTAACTACACTCAAATATTAATATGCTTATTTAGGTGTATTTTTGTTTTTCATGATATGTTTGTACTAAGGGCCAGTAATAACAGCCGGTTATTAATCCAGGACGACCCACCTTTAAGCCTCATCTAAAGTTTTACGAGCATAAGTTTATTTTGCATTTGGATGAACCTACTGAACTAGTGAACATCTTAATAAAGCAAGCAGAGATTACAGGAACACAGCGAAAAAATCCTCCAGGATGTTATACTTCAAAGGAAATTAATTCTTCGGCGATTCGCGTCATGTACTTAAAGGAATGTAGATATAGAATAGATGGGATGTGGCTAGCGGTGAAATTTAGGACGTGGGTTGAAACATATATTACCCATATTCAGCTGCTGCCCGATGGCTTTAATACATGGTTACAGATCTAGGGTGGTCTAAAGTGAACTGGTACATCTATGTTTTGAGAAATTCTGGAAGACTTACCACATACATTTCGTCAACGAATCTAACTTATTTCTTTGGAACCATACGTGGCATGCATGATATTCCACCGCCACTGATCATGTTTTGAATTCTTTGTTTTGCATCTAGTTAGATTCTTTGCTGTGTTAAGGTAAAATGCGGTAACTTGAGCTTGTACAAATGTATGCTTGTTTAGAATTAACTACAACAAAGATTTATTCCACTTCCATCATATTCACTTGCAATACGAGAGGTAATGTTGCTTATATACTAAGCAACAGCAAATCACAGAATCTTTTTGAGGATACTTACTTGAGTCGAAGGGTCTTTACTACGCATAGCAGACAACAGTGCTATAGACATGAAATATTCATCCCATGATATGTAGTCACTACGTTTTTGGTTTCCATTTAAAGTGAGGTTTTTAAATCCTGATAACAATCAAAATAAAATATATAGAGAACAGTGCGTACATGCGACGAAATGAAGGCTATAAAGTAATTTATTTACAAAAATTTGATGTGAGAACTGGAATATTACTAAAGTGACGCACCATAAAGGATGAATTTGCGATTTTGAAAGTTACAACTGATATAGTTGATAAATTATGTTCTCTAGGCAGTATGGACTCGAAATTCGGTATGCAAATTATACGATTTCATAAATTAGGCTTATGTTTATCAAAACTTGAAATCAAAAGGTTAGGGGAGAAAAAAGAGGACATACACTGATTTATTAGTGTTTGATAAGTTTGAAAAGTTGGAACTGTTCAGTTTTGCCAACAGCTTTAATAAACTTGCGTATTTATACGGGAACCGGCTGAGAACAAGCTTGGGTTTAACAATTTACAACACAATTCAGTGAGAAATATATTAATGGAAAAAATAAAACCAAGTCTGCAGCACTAAGAACGGGTTGGTGGGTGCGGAAGATCGATCTAACGGGGTCGAAAAACCCTGATTCCAAACCAACTCACATGGGCTTTATGATCCTAAAGGAACAAATGACTTATGAACCTACTGTTGAGAACCGGCTACCGTAGGACTACACCACTTAATGTTTACCATTTACCTAGTCGACTGGAACTCTAGATCAAAGACTTGAGGTGGTCCACTAATAATAACCCCTATTTTGGCAACTTAGCAACCGAGTCCTTGATTTAATAAGTATAGCGTAATGTTGCCAAAATAAAACAATCCATACTTTTCGTACAAATCGTTAGTCCGGAAAAAATCCTGACTATTGATATGGTCAGCACAGCTTTTAACTCGGAATTAAACTTTTGAATGGAGCAGTGTCAAAGTAGATACTAAATCCGCGTATCCTCACTAAAAGCGCAGTTACTTCTCAAGTTTTATAATTAATAAGCACGAAGATTAGCCTATAAAACACGCGATAAGGGTAAATAGTGTTCAAAATTACAAGGAACACCGAGATATGTTCTTATCAATAAAAGATATACATACAACAGCTTTAGACATCACGATAAAATATAAGAGTTTGGATAACTGACTTCATTGAAAATCGAGTTTTATGGATAGAATTCAAGACACTGACGATATGAAACTCATGTTTCAAATATTCAACAGCGACAAAGATTTTAAACATGAACATAATAGATAAGTAAAAGTACTCTCACGTACCATTCTCCATCAATGCAAGAAATCCAAATATAATGGAAATAAAAGAATTTCAACTACCTGGAATAAAAGAAAAGAAGAATTTAAATCAAAAATGCAGAACCGAACTGATATAATCAAAACATGCATTATCACTACATAAGAATATCGTGAGAACTAGGTACAACGAGAACCTCAGAAGCAGTTACTGCCAACTGGTAACCTTCATATATTAAAACAATGGATACCTACAGAAGGGAATAATACCCTCGCAAACAAATGGGGGATAAAGTCACACTTTGAGGAATCTCCCAAAGAAGGTCGGTGGGGATATAGGTTACAAAGAATGAACTAGCTCTCCTTTTCCTCAATGCCGGGATAGAAATCAACACTTCGACATTTGCTGACATTTATGAGCTTCGACTTGGTCTACACAGAATTTATATAAATTTACTTCTCATATATTTATTGACCGCATCACCCAAATTACAGTTAGACCTATAACTCTGAAGCTGGAAGATCTTATCCTAAAGAACAGTTATGCTCAATTAAACGATCCTTGTAAGTTTTACCTAACCTGAAGTATTTGTTTTAGAAAGAATGTATCACAAAAGCCAATATTTTTGGCGAAACTAATCGAAAAGTAAGTGCGAAGATGAAAATAAATGTATGACTTTTCGCTAAAAGGTTTTTTGAGACTTAATGAGACATGCAGAAAGGAGTAGGTGAAAGCTGTTGTGATCCTAGGGAGTGCCTGAAAAGGCCATATACGGGTATATTAACGACCCCTGTGAGTTGTCTTAGATATACGAGTCGGATTGTTCTTCCTCCTGATGATCTTCCTGGGCTGAGGGATTTTATTTTCCTTGCCTCGAATACAATAAGGAGTTTACGTACATTGATTATTTTCTTCGCTGTTGCTTTTTGGTGTTCCATGTCGCTGGTATCGTCCAATGAGAGCAGTTGAGCCATGAAGTTTCAAGTGACCTGAGGCAATCCGGTTGGTAATTTTTCATGCGTAGGAGAAAGTACTTTTTTAAGGACAGTGATGCTTTTAATACCTGCAGCTACCACATAACCAGCCAGAAGGTGCGTTTTTTCTGTATGGATGATTAGGACACAAAACTATAGCGGAGCAAAGAGAAGACAGTTGTTGGAATGGGTAGATAACCATTTAACTCAGAGCGTCACACTTGAACCCCCTAGTTGAGAATCCCATAACCTGTTGGCTGTGATCACAAAAAATTCATGCTGAATTTTTTAAGACTTTTTTGAGTGATTTTTTAATATATAACGTTTCATGTGCAAATTACTACTGGAGGGCATCGTCAGTCAATTTTCGAAGTGGGAATAAACTTCAGAGTCTCACGCCATCTGAAAGTATAATAGTCAGTAACAACAGTCATGTTTTTGTTCATTCGGTCACTAGCCTGTACGTATTGTGGAACAGTTTTTGTCACAGAATTGATTGAAAGTTAAGCGTCTTCTGTGTTATTCTTTTTTCCATCGTAATTGACAGCATAACGGGATGGAGTGTTATTTGTCCTAGAACAAGTTTCACTGTTCATAGTTTTACATTTTGTGCAAGGAAATTTAGTGAAATAATTCACTGTCATCATATCCACCCAAATTCTAATATACTGCAGAGAAATTTAGTCTGAACGAGTAAGAGATATTTTTGAGAACAGTGCAAGTTTTCTTGGTAGTCCTTATAAAGCACCGATATTGATGTATTCCAAAGTCTACTCGCTTAAGCTCACCCAAACCCGGTGAGAATTCTGAAAATGGTACCATTTTTCACGTGCTATAGATATTTCAGCATATTGTTCATTTTTAGGGTAACATAAGATCATACTATATATCCTGTGCAGTTTGATTCTGATTGGAAAATATTGTACATTTTAAATCCGTGAGTACGTATTTGTTGTTAACTTACATTTTTCAACCACAACACAGTAGTTGGTGACTAGACACATAGCGTTCTTGACTCAAGAATGTACGATTTTTTAGCATAACATTAGGCGTACAGTAATTATTCCACTTAGTACCTGAACAAAACGTATAAAATCTTTTATATACTGGTGCTCACTGATATTAGTATTGGACCCACTTAATACTCAACGAGTTATACCCATATATCTGCTTTAAGTAAATAAGTGCCTTTCCAACTGATAGCTTCGCGTGAAGTCACTCTAGGGTTACAGTAAATCTGAAGTCCGAGTAAAGAGAGAGGGCTGAGCATGGGGTTAGCGACCTCCTCACACAAGAGACTAACCCACCAAGAAAACGCTATACAGAAAAAATAATTCATTTAGAAGTGTTAGAATGTCTCGTGATGCGGGCTGAGTTTCTCCAAAAGTCACGGGCCAATGCCCTTTCTCACGACGAGAGAAATGGATAATATAGGTACGTGGGATGTTCACATCATGTCGGAAACTGGGAGAAAGATCCACGTTACTGCAGAAATGAAAAGATACAAACTGTTTGTGTTTGGAATTAATGAAACACATTGGATGAAAGTTGGGCGAGTGAGACCAGCTTTGGAAAAATGCTGTTGTAATCTAGCCATAAAGAGAATCATTTCTCATACGTATAAGAAGATGTACTGATGCTGGACAAAGAAGCTCACAAGACACCTATGGGATAGAAATCTAACTGACCAAGGAACATCAAAGCAGCCTTCGAAACAAAGAAAGAGGTGATTGAAATGGACGTAATCTAATTCTATGCCTCTTCCAACGATAACAATAAGAAGAATATAGATCACCTTCGTGAGAGGCTGCTTACAATTGTAGAGAAATGCCCAGGAAAGGAAGAGACTACTCTGACGAAAGATTTAAACTCCGAGGTTGAAATGAACATCGCTGGGTATGAGAACATCATGGGACGATATTGACTGGGAGAAAGAAACGAAAACTGTGACGGATTTTCGCGTCTTTGTGCTCTCAACAAACTGCTCATAGGCAACACCATATTCCTTGTTAGGATATTCCTGCAATATCCTAAGAGAATTATTTGTTAGTCTGATTCTGTTTATCAATTCCTGTTGGTTAATTCCTATTCGTAGTCCTATATATCAATATCACACACATCAACGTTGTTCCTTATTCGTCCTAGGTGTATAAATATGTATTACGGTCCTGACGAGGACCCGGATCCCTAGTCCGGGTCCTGATCCTCTTCTGAGCTCGGTTCTCGTACTTTCTAGATACTTGTAGAATACAGGTTCTACTTCATATCAACTCCTCTTCTGTTACTCAGTAGGGGTTTAGGACGCTTGTATTAGAGTTGTAGCCGGATCCTCAATCCTCGCTCTCGTTTTCCGTCTAAGGTAAACTGGTAATAGTTCAAACATACCAAACGATGTGTTTATGTACATGCGTAACACTCAACTGTTTATATACATATACATTATGTCAGGTGGTTTTGTAGCGTCAGCCATGGTTCCTCCAACTGGAGTTAACCCACAAACAATTGAAGAGATCACAAGGGTGTCATGCAAATCATGATCGACAAAACAGCAAGGCCAAACAACATTCCAGCTGTGAAACTGAAAGCAGACTTCGCACTAACTACTTAGCTGTTGCGTGCTCTGTTCAACAAGATTTAAGAAGAGGAAAAAATACCGACAGACCTTAAAGAATGACACTTCAAACAAGAGAGATTTCAGCAAGTCTGAGAACTACAGAGGCATCACAATGCTTTCAGTACCGGGAAAAGTCGTCAACAGAGTGTTGTTGAACCGAATGAAAAATTCAGAAGATATCCAGCCTCGAGATAAGCAGGCCGGATTCCGTAATAGTGGATTAGTTACCGTAATAAATAAAAGTTTTTCCGAAAATGTTGCATAGAAGAACGGCTACAAGCATCTCAGTATGACCTCTGTTCATAAAAAATTAATGACGATAATTTAGTCAACACAGCTTTGAAATTACACCATCCAGTGGGCTTTTGAAAGTGCTAAATGTTGGTCGTAATCATTTAAATGATATTATCCACCCAACGTAATCGAAAAACGTTAGACAACTTAACTACTGGCTGACAAAATAAGGGAATTAAATCAATATTCCACCCAGAAAACAGAAGGGTTGTGATTATACAAAAACAGAATCCCTGATAACAAAACCCAGGACAAACTACGAACCGTAAACAACCTAGGTGAAGTAAATTGACCACGGTGGTACAAAGGAGCAAGTGAAGTTTGAAGAATTGCTGTTATCGTAATGCAATTAACCATATTAAAGCTTCGTTTAAACATTTACAAAAAATAAATAGAACTACGGACGAATTGGAACGGTGTGGAAGGAGACTATGGGAATCACTTACCAAGTAGGGATGAACGTCCAGAAAATTGTACCTTGTCTATAGTATTTGTGTTACACAGTTTGAAGGATGCAGACCTAGCCTCCTTTGTTAAGAATTTCTTATATATAATACACACTAGCAATCTAGATTTAGATATAAAAATAATATGTTTATTCTCAAATGACGGCGTATTGCAAGAGGCAAGCCAGTTTACAGTCTAGATCAAATTGTTACTAATGCTACCGCATTTACTGTAAAAGGTTACACTGTTAGATTAATAATAAGAGTCGGTTTCTGACAGTAAGCTTACACCATGTCACCAACAGGAGCAGTTTCATACAGCTACATTTTTAACACGTGATCATGGGGGAGAAAGGAAAAAAGAGCAACGTAGCAATTTTATATATATAACCAGTGCATTGCTCAACCGTTCATTACGGGGCATGTAGCATCTCATGTATATCTTGTACTTTTATCATTGTTATTATGGTAATTATAATTATGGTAATATAACCTTCAACTTAGGAGGCACAGCAATCAAGGAGGGAGGGTGGTATATCTGACCAGCATTCATGACGGTGGTGCGATAACCTCAATCTACCCATGTCTGTGTGGCAGAACACTTTGTTTACTTACGGCTCCCCACCATATAGCAGGGTGTAATTGGTCAATTATATTGATGTTACTTTTCGCCGAAGACTCATGTCTATAACGATGCACTGGTTTCACTTCCGATCAAGAAATCGTACCACAAACAGATCTGAGCAATTATGTTGAAAAAAGCTCACACGAGAGTTTTCGGCCAACGGCGTTAAAAAACAATTGATGAAATATAACCAGAGCATCAGATCATTGTGCCTTAATTATTATTTCTGTAAATAAACGTAATTTCTAACAGTTTAGTTCCTTTGAATCTCATCTATTCATAAAATTATTAGGTCATTCGTTAACTTACTTATGATTTGTCTTCATTAATCTGCATACGTTCAGGCGTACAGTTAATGTTCTAATACAGAGAAAAAAAGGTCTGAGTAACCGTAACTTTGTTTTATCTAACGAAATTACCTAATAATTCATAAATCAATGTTGAAAAGGATACACTTTGTTTTGCCCATCTCAAATGGAAAAATACGTACGCTGTTCAAACTTCAATCAGTTCGTTTATCGTCAAAGATGCCGTATTAGATAATGTCTTTTCGAAAACCACTGCAGTTGCCAAGCTGCTGGAACTTACTTTCTACATCTGCTATATATATTTATCAATAGCCATCAACATAGTTTTACTGGATTTGTATACAGATCTTCTTTAGCAGCAAATCGTGAGGAGGTTGCAAGTAACACTACGGAACGAGATGTTGAAAGTACGGGTGGAGTATATAGTCAGTCCCAACAAGACATAAACTACAACTGACAAATATCGCTTCGCAAACAAATGACTCATTATTGACATCACCCACCAAATTTGCTTCAGTCAAAAGAAGAGTGTAGCAAATCCTCTGAAACTCTAGGGATTCCAATGCCCGTCAACGCAGGATATAATTTTACCTCTGTAGCGACAATGATGCAACTTTTTACTTGAAGGTTGAGCTTATTTTCATTTTGACGAAAGTTCTTATCACAGCCGTAAGGGGTTTAGGACAGATTGAGCATGTGTGTAGCACCACTAGAGGTAGTAAGTATGGAAAACCCTCCAAACTAGATTATTTACTAACAAACAGTGAGCTCCTACTCATGTTCATTTGCACATACCAGTAGTAAGTAGTGACCGTGGTGCAGTTATGTTAGACGTGGTCACAAACGAAATACTTCGGAGGGACGAAAATGCGTCCTAACTTCCTTACACTAGGGAAAACTATACGACCATAAAAGAGCATCTTCTGAATGCCTTACGGCCACGAGAATGTTGGAGGCTAGCAGTAGAGTATTACAGTGAGATACATCATTCAGAACTCTGTCCTACACTATATATCTCGGGCAAATCAGACACTTGAGAAAGGAAGGACATTCGTTAAGTGAGACACTGGACTCTCGTTACAGACAAAGAGGAAACCCTGGTACAAGCGGAAAGTCTCTCTGAACGATTCTGCACGTAGTTTTTTTTGGAGTTGAGGAACAAATGAATTGCTTATGTTTGAAGTGAAAGAAGACCCAAAATATCTGCTTGGGTTTGTGATTAAATGAAAACAAACGAATCAAGATTTTTGAGCTGTCATGGTCCGAATGACCAAGAAAAAGCTGAAGTCCTAAATACCAGCTTTGCCCACCAGTTAAGCCGGGTACTACTGAAACCTAGTTCCAGCTGATGGTCTGGGGAATATTTGACCTACTCCTGACTTAGTATTATGAAAACTCAGATTTCTGCTTCCAGGCATGTTGCCGAGACGTGAGAATATTCGTCCCATAATCTTGAAATAGTCTCCGTAAGAACTCAGCTCTCTGATATGTGACCTGTTCAGGCATTCATTATAATTCCACCAACTTCTTGTTAAATGGAAACAAGCTATTCTCTCCACGATCTTCATATGACGAGATAGGAAACATCCGGCCAGCTAAAGGCCTGTTTCACGGATTGTTGACTGACCAAATGAAAGACTACAAGGTTAAAAACAACATCCTTCATAAACCTTATCATGGGAAAAGAAAAGTTGGGTCGTGCGCATCCGATCTTCTCATAGTATATGGCAGCTGTACAACGTTTTGGTACCAAAGAATACTGATTCATACGATATTCATTGACTTCTTGAGAGTCTGCTACACAGTGCCTCACGTACTACTAACAGCTAGTAGCTAATGTTTCGAAAATGAGCTTTACTGATGCCCTTTTATTTTGGCTCAGAAGCTAGCTAGAGAACAAAAAGTTTCGTACCAAGGTAAATACTGTCACTGACATTTTCTTTGATAAATAACCTGTTAGATCTAGCCCATTATCTCTGTTTTCTCTTTTTCACTAACACTTCTGTCCTCTCACACCAACTTGACTTCTTAGTTTTAAATTCCGATTAGCTTCAGAGTTTTTCCTGTATAATCTGCACGTTGTAGCTAGCTGATCTCAGGCATGTTAATGTGATAGCTGTTGATTTACAGAAACCCTACTGATAAAAGCATTCATGCGAAACAAGGAACCTACAGATTCATTAATATCTGCCAACTGACTCGAATTAGTGTAGTCGAGTGACTTGACTATGATCCACTGGACGTTAATAAATACATAGATTAGTACCATGAGAACAAGAAGCTAGTGCGAAAAGATCAATTGATTTCTATTACCCCTTGGAAGGATATTGGACATCGAATCACCCTTGAAAAGACTATTTCAAATGCATTACAAGTTTCTGCTTTGATGCCTCCGTGGCGATTGTATTTTACCTACGTCTCCATAACGATTGGAAGTTCTTTCATATTTGGATATCATACAGGAGTTATAAATGCACCACTGTCAGTAGGTTTGAAATTATGATGGCCATATATTTGAAGCTCATTCAAAACTTCACACAGGCTGTCATCAATGAAAGACAATATACATGTAATTCTTCATGTGTGAGAGTGATTATGTCGATATGTGTCACAGGATTCGTTATCGGTGGATTGTTTGGGGGATTGTCAGGGGGATATTTGGCTAACAGATTTGGGCGGTAGGTCCTTGAATTCTGAAAGACACGAATATTTAGACGGAAAGCTTTGTTTATTCTTTCCATCCCAACAATCTTGGGATCTGTACTCATCATGGTTTCAGAGAGCTTGAGGTCATTTGAAACCGTTATATTCGGCAGATTTATAGTAGGCTTATCTGCAGGTATCAGTTTAAGAAATTATTCGAACTCATACCATAACTTAGGTGCTTATACAGTCGTGACACCCACATACCTGTCAGAGATCGCTCCATTAAAGTCTCGTGGTGCGGCAGGAATTACAAACCAATTTGTCACTGTGCTCGCTATTCTTTTGTCCCAGATCCTTGGTTTGTCGCAAATAATGGGAAATGATAAATTATGGCCATTTTTGTTGGGTAATAATATTTTTCTTATGGTCTGCCTACAGGTCTCTGTGCTCCTGTTTGCTTTTTGCATGTGATGCTTATGGTGTTTTGTCCTGAAAGTCCTAGCTACTTGTATTTAATAAAAGGTGACAAAGCTGCTGCAAAACATGGTACTTTTTCTCTAACTTTATTTTCAAACAATGTAGCTCTTCTTTTACTTAGGGGTCAGGACTATGATGTCAATTTAGAGCTTGAATCATTTCAACGAGATCCAGAATATAGCAGTCAAAGCCATTTTGGAATGGTTGATTTATTTCGAATTCCACATCTTAGATGGGGTTTATTTGTTGCCCTTATTCCACATTTTGGGCAGCAGCTCTCTGGAATTAATGGTGTAAGTTAATGAATAATTACTTCCGCAATTCTGATTCATATTAAAAATAAACCTGAGCATTTATGCGTAATTTCCCTTTAAGTTATGTAGAGCATATATTTTTATGAGTGCTACTCTCAGGTTAATATGCATAGTGTCAAGTTACTTAACTAGTTCAGCAACTTCCGTCTGAATTTGTGTAAGAAAAGTTATTAACTGAAAAAAATAGGCCTTTACCGTTAATATGTTCATGATTTTACCAAAATAGATATAATCCAGATTATTTTAGCTTCACAATTAAATTCTGTAATATTGCTAATAAAATTTAAGCACTGCAAGTTTGTATACACAGATCTTCATTCCCAATGAATTGTACAAGAACACGTTAAGTAATATAAAAACATGATCTAAACTCCATCTTAGCAAGCGGCGGTTATGTAACAGAAAGTGATTTACTAGCATATTTTTGGAAAAAGTTTGCTCTGTTGGGATGGACCAAAAGATTATTTTAGATGCTTTGGTATTGTTTTAAGTATATTTATCATTTAGCAGCTATCAGTTAATTCATCATAGTCTCACTATTATCTTTACTAGTTTTAATGGTTGCGAAACAGATATTGAGGTTTAATGGTCAGTTTAGGTTTTAAAAGTAATTATAGGGTCGAATTATGAAAAATGTTTTAGTCACTCATATACATTTTGCGGTAAATTAATCTCGCATCTTGCCTTTTAATGGCAAATAGGCTTCAAAGTTTATTTTTTGCAGCTGTGACATTTCGAACCATATTTTTCTGCTAGTCTTAGTGAAGTTAAATTTCGTTACTGGATATCTAAATAGTTTGATAATAGCATACTTGGTTCTTCACCAAAGATATCTAGACATTTCTAGCAAAATATGTTTTAATTTGGTATACAGGAGTAAAGTCATTTATAAAGCATCCAAATGAATTTAAACTGCTACAGAATTTTGTGAAAATGAATCAATTTGTGTATTGCAATATATATTACACATCTTACTATCCTATTTTTGATTGTTTTTCATCTTGTTATTCTTTTTTCTGTTGATAGATTGTCCTTCTTAATGCATTTTTGTTACTTGCTTTCATTGAGGGAATTATGATTCAGATCTTCCTTAACTTATTTGTTGATATTCTGGTAGTTAATAGCAGTTATACTAAATTTTCTTTTCTGAATACCTTCTTACATTCATTGTGGTACATGAAGACATATATATTATTATCAGTCATAATTAATTATAGCTTAAAGCTGTGTTCATTATAATGTATACAATGATGGGCACTAGTTTAAGTGACGATGAAGTCAAAACAAGAGCTGTCAAATTTTTCCAGCTGCTTTTATATATTCTCTATGATGATCAGGTGAAAATCAGCATATACGAGGTGTAACAAACCGATTTGTTGTAATGCATGGTCAAAAATGCGAGAAATACTGAATTCATATAAGTTATTTTTTTTGTAAGTGTCGAGTACACAATCTTAAGCAAGAAATATCAAATAAAGATAAGGAATTTATTTTCAGGGGTTAATTTTTTATTTCAATAGCTTCAACTTGAAAAAAGTGGCACATACACATATACTTGATAAATTGACTTTACTATCCTTGAAAAAATATAATTAGACTGGTAAAATTACTTTTTTGGAAAATCATCACTTAATATCTTTTCCATCGTTGAGGATTAATTTATCGACTTGTTTAAGGTTACGTTCAGTTTGGGCATAGTTAATGTTTATACTTGACACAACTGATAAAAATGAAGTTTTTCAGTAATATTTCCCAAAAATCTTAGAATATTTTGTCAGAAAGTGATAATGTAAAGGACACTGAACAGGAGTCTGACTTTTGGGTTGATTAGTTCCCAGTTAAGTGAAAAATAGACTGCTTATTATGTCAAATGAGTAGGCTACAGATTCCACTACGTGCTTTGACAATAGGGCTAACGTACTACCTTATGTCGATTATGGTGCTTTTAAGTTTATGTGTGCAAAAGCTTTCAATTTTAAAATGGATCTTTTGTTATTTATTGAAACAAAAAACATTTTCTCTCTTTTTTTTTGAAAAAATTAATTGTTATTTCACCTCGTATACCAGTCATTTGTCCAGATATCTGTAGCAATTTTAAAAACTGATTTACATATAAAGACTCATTTCCTGTATGTCAATAAATATTTTGCAGGTTTTTATCGCCAAACATGGAAATGTTTGATCTGAAAAAAGCTACTTATGCGTACATAATCTGTATAAGGCTCATTATATATCCATTTCGGTTCTGTTGGTAATCGATCTCTTAGCATTCTTTTGCGTATAATATACATTTTCGGTGCTGTATTTGGCCTTTAACTTTACTAAGATCTTTAGCATTCTAGCCTAAAAGTGAATTAATTTTTATGAGTATCTTTATCTCACTTTGTGATTATGCTTTAGAAATATTAATGGATGACGAAGATTACCTAATAAATCAAACGTTCAACTCCGTAATAATGTATATAACTATTAAAATTATTTATCACTTTTAAATTTATGAACAGATTAAGCTCATCCAGGTTCTTGTTATGCAATGTTCAATTTTAAGATAATATTCAAATTCTCTAAAGCATCACTTAACTCGCATTATTTATAAAATCTTTGTATTTTGTGAACTTCAGGTTTTATACTACTCTGTTCCATTGTTTGAAAGTGTTGGTCTGACCAATAAAGAAGCCAGTTTTGTTAGTCTTGGAGTTGGAGCAATTATTGTGTTAGGTACAATTGTATCAGTATGTGTTATTGATAGAGGAGGTAGACGCATGTTATTACTGGTTGGATTTGCAATATGCTTAGTCAGTTTAATTACATTTACAACAGTTTTGGCAGTTCAAAAGTTTACTCATACTTCTTGGTTAACATACATTTCCATTCTTGTATTATATTTATTCGTCTCGGGATTTTCATTTGGCCCAGGTATGTATTTATGTTATTTATTCATTAAGTAAAAACTGATTCTTAATTGGCTTTGTATCTGAGAAGGCTATGGTAACTTACCTTAGTAAAATATACAAAAACTGATAAACATTACTGTGTAAAATTTGTTTGTAGATACATATTGCTTTTAGGATTACGTCAGCGTATGCAAATGTCACAATTCATATTTGCCTAGATTATCTGCTGCTCTTCTACGAGGCTTGTTAATTACGATTGGAATAATGTATAGGCGATTTTGAAATTTATATTTTGTAGCAGTTACATGCTATATCTCAGATCTTATTCTAACTGGTATAAACCTACCACATAATAATTGATTAGACTTTTAAGACCATTTCATGAGTACTATTGCCATCTACTAACTAAAGTCAAATATTTATATAGGATTGAAGATAAAAAAAACAGTCAAAAGGCTGTTGAATTCTGAAAACTGTCGTTTCTGGAAAAATATTGCCCAGCATATATACTTGTTTTAAAACCATAAAACCGTCTTTCTAAATGTGGGATTGATTCTGTTGGAAATTACATGATAAGATGTACTTATATTTGCCTGACCTTGTTATTTAAAGTAAAATAAACTAAAAATAACCCGTGATAAAACAATCATCTATGGTTCCAAAAAATAAAGTGTGTTTACTGAGGGCTAACTTAAAATATTATATGAAATGGGTATAAAGAAGACTAACAGTTTTAAAATTGTTGATAGTCTCAAAAAAATCTCAAAAAAGAACTTCCATACAAGCGTCTATCAGAGTATTTTACGCTGTAGCATATACTTTACCGATTAGCCTTTTGTCAATACTCTCAGTGTTTGACCAAACAAATATTTAATCCCATCACAAACATTTAGGTGTATCTTAAAGTATAAAGTTTACTGTACTTAGGATATCTGTAATCATAGTCATTTTTTAAATAAAGAATTATCATCGGTTTTACCACCATGATATTATCCTTCATGATTGATGATCTTCAATATATTTTACAGTATCATTCTTAATTTCATAGTTAACAAAGAGCTAAATAATCGTTGAAATCAGAACTGTTTACTCTTCAAATTAGTTTATTTGGCAGTGAAGTTAACAAATGAAAATTCTCTGCCTTCCCAATGAAACCAAAATAGTAATAATAATAATATATAAATATTCCAAAATAAGTAAGTCAGTTACTCAATATACTTTACATTTTTTCTACAAATTAAATATTTTTTATAAATTTTTCAGGCTCTGTTCCTTGGTTTCTCGTAGCTGAACTATTTACACAAGAATATAGAGATGCTGCACAAAGTATGGCAGTGGGTACCAATTGGTTGTGTAACATTGTTGTTGGACTAGTTTTTCCTCAACTAATCGTAGGTTTTGATGTTTTTTTTAAAGAGTTGATTACTGAGCGTTTTGCAATCTTAAACTTTACGTGATGTTAGAAAAATCATTTACAAACTTAAAAAAGTTATTTGTGGTATAAAGTTAACTTAATTTATGAACTGTTAATAGAGTAGGATGCCGACCAAAGATATATTAAAGGGCATATATCCATTTACAAGCGGAATTATGTACAGTACATACTATGGTTTAAGACACGAAATCTAGTATCAATCAGTCCACTACAAAGATGATATATAGAACTGTTTTAACATGGTTTAATATGTTGATGTGTATATGTCTTCCAGTTATCCGTGTGATTGAATTGAAAACTTAGTTTCTTTAAATGATGTTTTTAGAAGATCCTTCCAGTAGAGCTTAACTACAATAAGAGTATCTGAAAATCGATTAGACTTCATCGATAATAAATACGTAATATAACCCTGGACATCATTTTGTAAAAACTTGAATTTTATCTGTGGTATGTAATCGTTAGCTTTGATGATTAATCTCCGTTTGACTTAAGAAATAAGTGTACAGATTCAATTCAAGGATTTTAATTCAGTTGCAGTAACTACCAAAGGCAAATGGGTGAGGTCGCGCAAAATCCCTAGATCAGTCAGAGTTAGACATTGATGCTGTTGGACGCCGGCTCAGTGGTTCAGAGATTAGGCATTCATGCATAAGACCGAAGGTCCCGGATTCGAATCCCGCGAGGTACAGGAATCGTGGATGCACACTGTTGATGAGTCCCATACCAGGATGGAAAGGCCGTCCACTGCTTTCAGGTTTCTAATGGTGGTCTAACAATAATTGATTAATGATTTAAAATATTATTTATCCGTCTATAAATTTCTGAATCCCGATATGATCGTTTGATTGTTGAATAGTCAGTCTAATAAAACGTTATCAGTCTCGTCAATAAAGAATTATCTTATAAAAAAGGACAAGAACCATTTCATATAATTTTTAACGCCATATAAAAAATTTTGTTTATGTCGGTTCAAACAACAACATTAAGGATAAGCTGAATAAAAAGCATATCTGTGAACAAAACATATTTTGAATATAGATTGCTTTGTCTATATATATATATATATATATATATATATATATATATTTATATCACTTCAAAAATGTATCGAACTGAGAATTATTTAAAAAGTTATTGCAGCTCATTTATTCTGACATTTGATAAAATTAAAACTTTTGAAGAATTGTTTCATTGGAGAGAGAATTTGTTTAGTCTATGACACTATCTTTTACCATTAAACATGTCAGACTTACAACATTTTCATTGCATGAAACATATTCCTAGGTATTTAAGTAATATACTATCGGTATTTTTTTTTAAGTTACTTTGATTACAACATCAGATGAAGAGTTGTTTATTATCATCATCGTCAGATCAATACACTTGTACTAATCATCGTAAAGACCATAAATAAAACTAGACCAAAGCTGAGCTGATTCTTTGGCTAATATAGTTATCACATCTAACTTTAACTTCAGATAGCAAAAATAGAAATTCAGTATGTAGGTTATTAGTACATACCTTGAATAATTATACTCCATGGAGAACATAATTTTACCGGTTACGTAAAAGTTTAGTTACAAGTGTTAATTAAAACCACAACTATAAAATATTTGTTGATTCAACATCATATAAATAAGTATTTATTTATATGAGGTATTTCATTGAAATAAGTAGTGTAATATATATTGTTTATTTTCAATCATCAGTTAAAGACAGATATGTCTAATTGTATAGTGCTTTGTAAGTCATACAGAAGCTAAACTTGTTGCATGGGTTTCAAGCAAGTTTTATTTACTTAGATAACCTAAAATTTCGTAAATTTGAGTAAACGACTAATCTGTGTTCTACTTGAAAATCATTGTTAAGCAAATTTTCATGTTCGCACATATAAAATAATTTATATGTTATTAAATAATCTTATACTTAATAGATTTCTAGTAAATTAATAATTAACTTGATTTGATATGGAACTTAGACTTTATTTTAGTCAGTTATTCACGATAAACTATGCTTAAGCTTATCCGTTGTATCTTCATTTAGTAGTGTTGTATATGAAACACTGAGTTTGATGAACCACTATTGTTCTGCAAAATTTATTTAAATGAATATATTTTATATTTTATAAGAATTCGATCGTGTTTTATTTCGTTAATGAGAACTATGAAAGGTCATGTGATGAGGGAACACCTTGAATGACAATGTGATACAAATAATCTTTAATTTCTATCAAAATAATAACTACCATAAAACACAAGGTGTTCTCAGCCATAAATTATTTAGATTTATCTTTTTTCTTGTTTGTTCAACTGTCTATCAATTACATCATGATATATTTTAATGAAGTTTATCATATGTACAGTCGAGGTAGATTTTTCGTTCTATTTTGTTGGGGACGTTAGATCCCCAGGACTCACTCGATTTAGATTCTTATTCTGGATTTTATGCTTTCGCACATGGGCTGATCAGTTGACCTTGAGATTACATTTCCCACCCGGAAAATCCTTGACTGTTATTGGTTGATGTGTTATTTTAGTACGCTATTTTTGTGGCTCTCCCAAGGACATTTCCATCATGTACAAATAAACTCGATTTGTGTGCTTGTCAACTTCGTATTTTCTGGGTGCTTGTAGAATACACTTTCTACATCTTGTCAAGACTTCTTCCTCTATTTATTGGGTCCAGAGGATGTTCAGATTAGAGTACGTTTGTCGACCAAGGGGAATTCGTATTAGTTTAAGCATATCATTTGACAAGCATGTAATATTCTGAATTATAAATAGTTTTGTGACTTTCTATACCAATAGATGTACTCTTTGATTTGGTATGTTCACTTTTGATATCCTCGCTAAAAGACTGATTTTTCAAGTGACTTGCTTATATATGTATTCACTTTTGTCGAATATTATGTGATCAATCTTCAGGCTTAATACAAACCTATTTAACATGTAATTTTTATGAAATAATCTTTTGCTTTTCATTGATTTCGTGCATCGATCATTGTTAGAACACTACTAGAAACTAAAAAGCACTCAGCTGCCTTGTCTTGCTAGTATGGTATTCATCAGCAGTGCGCATCCGCAACCCTCGCTCACGGTTATCGACCTTCAGTCTCGCGCGCGAATGCTAAACTTCTAAATCACTGATCCGGCATCCGACGGCGTTAATGTCTAACTTTAATCGATCCAAGGTGTAGTACAGCTTCACCCATTGTGTTCGGTGGGTAACTACTTACACCCGACACGGCTGAACTCCAATGGTCACAGCTACTCATTAGAATTTCCTTCCGAAGCAAGTCACTAATGAACACATCTACATAATTTGTTATGGTGGTTACGCCCTGGTGATGAGTTGTCCAGTGCTTCTAGGTTTCAAATAGTTGTCTAACGATGATTGATTCATGATTTTAATAAAATTCAACAATCTTCACAACTCTATCATAAAAAATCTACTTTTGTTTTTTCTAGCAATTCTGAGCACGTTAATCACACGGATGAGATCTTTTTGAACGACTAAGATACTTTTATTTCAATTACAATTTTAAAAAAAATAATAATCAGAATCTATAAGAGGAACTGAAATTATAGCTACATGATTATAGATGATTTTATAGGTTTTTGAGTGTAACATTTACTGACACAAGATTATAAATCTCTTGTTCTTCATTACAATTATAGAAGTTGTAAAAAGTATTTTATCTAGTCCCCTAAATATATATATATATATGTTCTGCATAATAGCAATTGAATCTTTAATAAAAAAAATTAATTAAAGTAATTTAATTATTGATGACAAATTAATTATAAATCATTCAATCATTGTAATGACAAACTGATCAATATTAGTATATTTGAACATTGATCAGTTGTTCATGATTTTCAATGAAATTCAATTTTATTCTGTTGATAATTAAGCAATTTTTTTTAAATTTAAAATTATTTTCACTTTGATTATTTGAATTTTTTATTTTTTTTTTATTGTTGTTGTTGTTGTTACAGGTGCTTATGGATAGTTTCGCTTTTGTACCATTTATTTGTGTACTTATCATTGTGATTATTTTAATTGCTTTATATTTACCGGAAACTAAAGGTTTCAATCCAGTTTATATTGAATCCGTTTTCAAAGCTCAATGTAAACATTCAACACTTATACCGGTAAGTGAACAATTTATCAATTCGTCAGATTATATATATTTCTTTTCCTGAATAATAGACAAAAAACATTAAAGATTACTTTTTAGTTTAGCGTACATTGTAACGGTATACAAAATATATGTTTAAAGAAATGTTAAGATATTGATCCACTATCCTAAGAGAATTGTTTGAAGTCTAATTCTATTGGTCGTCCTAACTATCAATGTTGTTTCCTATTCGATCTAGCTGTATAAATACGCATTATGTGTAACGCTTTATGACCCAGACCCGGATCCCTAGTCCGGGATCCTGATTCTCTTCTGGACTCGGATCTCGTACTTCCTGGATGCTTGTAGAATACACATTGTACTTCATATCAAGTCTTCTTCTTTTAGTCAATGGGTGTTTGGGACGCTCAGATTAGAGTAGCCTGTCGTGTCGCTGCATCCCCGATCCTCACTCTCGTTTACTGACTAATGTAAACTCGTAATAGTTCAAGCATATCAAACGATGTGTTTATGTATATGCGTAACAATCAACTGTTTATATACATATACATATAAATTTTGTCAAGTGGTTTTGTGGTAGCTTCTGCACATTTTGAAAGGGTTTCTACTACAACATGTGTTCAGTTGATTAACTTTTGAAAGCCAACAAACATAAGTGACTAGTGAGTAGTCTTAAGATGTGAATTTGCAAACTATAGTACAAACCTGAACGAGATGATAATGTGCTTATTGTATGAGGATTGATTTGAATGCATATTCGTTAGTACAAAAGTGCATTTTATGAACCAATAAGACTGTTTAGTTTTATCTCTCTAAATATCAGTAGTTAACCGAACTTTATAGAAAAATTCAATCAGAATCAAACAACGTTTTTCAACACTTACTTAATTCCTGTTTACTGGAACAATAAAATGTGACTGAATTAAAACCATATATCGTCTGTTATATTGACAAATTTTAGTATACCTATTACCAAATAGTTATTTTTGAACAAGTTCTGTAGTTTCATTAAATTAAAAATTAATAAAGAAAGTCTCATCGTCTCACTACAAACAGAAAAAGTTAATAATGTGGGCAGTACTGTTTGATGTGCAGCATTGAAATGAGTTAAAATGTTTACCAGAATCCTATCTAATTTGTTATTTGGTAGGAAAATAGCTGCAAATTCTTTTCCTTAGCCTTTTTTTTTTACAGAGCATTGTTACTTAGTCATTTGGATTTTTACATAGCATGTTCGTAACTATTTTATAGTCTAGTGTAAATAAAGTTTTACATAGACGATCAGTGATTTAACAACCAAGTTTAGTTTTTCCAATAACAGCTTGAAATAAAACCATTTTAATACCTTCCATTTGAAAGAAAACAGCTAATTTTTATTATTTTCTCTCACTGTTACTTCAAATTAAATGTGTGTATTATCAGATTGTTCAGAAACCCTATGAAAATCGATAGGTTTTGAAATTGTACACGGTTCGGTTACTGATCCTAAGCTTTTCTGTTTAATAGTGGTGATAACATTAAACTAGTAGTTGGAATGCTAAATGAAGCATCCAAAGACTTGAAAATACTCTTGAATCGACCAGCTCCACTAAACCCACCCGACATCGAAGCAGCACCAATGGACCTCTAAAATCAATGTGGGCCCACCGAAAATTCAACAGATCAGTATTGCCATCGTATAAACAAGAGCGGAACCAGACAATATTCCAACAGAGGCAATAAAAAGCAGACACGGAGGTAACGGCAAAGATGTTACATACTCTGTTCAGCAAGATTTGGGATGAAGAAGAAGTACCAACAGACTGGAAAGAAGGATACTTGATCAAAATACCAAAGAAAGGAGATCTCAGCAACTGTGAGAACTACAGAGGCATCACTCTTCTCTCAATACCAGGCAATGTTTTTAAGGGGGTGTTTTTAAAAAGACTGAAAGACTCCATAGAAGCTCAACTTCATGATCAACAGGCTGCATTCCGTAATGATCGATCGTGTATCGAACAAATCGCAACATTACGGATCATTATGGAACAATCAAGTGAAGAATTCACCGCGCTATATCAGCTTCATTGATCATGAGAAAGTATTTAATAGACTGGACAGGACAACACCATGGAGGCTTCTTCGACACTACGGCGTGCCTGAGAAGATAGTCAACATCATACGGAATTCTTATGATGGATCGAACTGCGAAATCGTGCATGCAGGACAACTGACAGACTCGTTCGAGGTGAAGGCCGGTATAAGGCAAGGTTGCTTACTCCTAGCCCTTTCTCTTTCTCTTGGTGATAGACTGGATTATGAAGATGTTGACTTCTGGAGGGAAGCCTGTGATACAATGCAAAGCAAGGATGCAGCTGGACGATCTGGACTTCACAGATAATCTGGCTCTTCTATCGCACACGCAACAACAAATGCAAGAGAAGACGACCAGTGTAGCAGCAGCCTCAGCAGTTCTCAACAGACATAAAGGGAAAAGCAAGATTCTGTGATACAACACAACATACTCCAATCAAATTACTCTTGATGGAGATGCCTTGGAGGATGTAAAAACCCTTACATATCTGAATAGCATCATTGACGTGCGAGGTAGATTTGATGCAGAGGCGAATGAATAAGACATACATTGAGGAAAGCACTGAACTACGTCACAAGACAAGCCCTCATTTGTAATCCTTGTGGTCAAAGTAACACATTAGGCTGAGAAATGAAGGCAGTCATGAGAAGAATGAATAGTAATTAGGTGGAACCTAGAAAGGAAAACTAATGACAGAGTAAGTTGGAGAATGCTGGTCGATGGCATATGCTTCATTTTGTTCTACAATATGTTAGCAAAAGAAATAATCGTAGAATAAAAATAAAACAAAAATGACACTGTATTCATATGCAATGTTAGTTACGCCTTGATTCAGTTAGTCTTCCTGTTCAGTTTGTCTTCTCTTTTTTTTCTCAACACTTTAAATTTAATCTTAATGAGTATGTTTTACTGTGTAATCACTATTCAGTTAATCAATACACTATCATATTCAACTAGTAGTACTTTATGAAATTACCATGTCACACCTTAATATGTTTGCTTCATTCTCCTGTTTTGATGATAATAACAAAATTTTAACTGGAGATTGTTGTGTTCAATGTTCATTTATTTTTTATTGAATCTATTGAATGTCAAACTCAAATTTATTGTAAAAATCATCATTTAAACAAATATTAACAATTCTTGATAGTTATTTACATTTGATTTATAAATTGAACAGTATAATACAGAATTACAAAATGATATATAACCTATAAATGATTATATTTGAAAAATAAGAAAAAAAACCTTTAACATTCTATTTGTTACAATTTCAGATAGTTTATATATTTATATGTATATTCATTAACTAAAAAGGAGAAATCAATTTGTAAATGATTTATGAATCAATTACTTATATATATATGACAGGAAGTATATTGATACATTGATAGGGCATGCGGTTTGAAGTGCAAAATTTATTTGAATACTATATTGTAACATTGAATAAGAGAGTTCATATTAACAGAATAACAATTTTTTTTTCAATTAGAATTATGAAGATCATTGTTTTTTGCACACACACACACAAATTATGAATCGATCATTGTTAGATTCTATTTGAAAAATCGTATATTGTGCTCACTAGTGACCGGCTTTGTAAGGAAATTCTCAGAGTTCTTAGTGAGAAGATGTGATCAGGGGAGTTCAACCCTGTCGGTTGTAGTCAGTAACTATTGAAGACAGTTGTGGGTGAGGTCGTGCAAAATCCCTCGATCGATCAGAGTCAGACATCCACACCATTAGATGTCGACTCAATTGTCTAGTGGTTGGGCACTTGAAATCTAAACTCAAGGCCCCAGGTTCGACTCCTGCTATTGGCGATTGTTGTGGATACGCACTGCTGATGAGTGCCGTTCCAGGACGGAACGGCCATCCAGTGCTTCTATGTTTCTCATGGTATTCTAACAATGATTGATTAACAATTTCTATGTGTAAGAATAACCATTGTAGCATTAAAATTATCATTGAAACATTTAACTAAAGTTGAAAATCTCACACTGCATGCGAAATTTTATCTTCACGTATATTGAATGATGTATTTATTGACATGTGGTTAATATTTTAATTATTTTTAATTTCAACACTGCTTCAAATATCAGCATGCTTGAACTTTTAAAATGATTCTTTTATTTTTGTCATAGATTTTCTATTTGTACTCAATTGTAATTCATATCAAAATCAATCATTAAAAGAAAAGTAATTGATCAACAAGTAGGCAAACTATTACTTACTTACTTACTTACTTACTTACTTACTCCTGTAACCCCAAATGGAGCATAGGCCGCCCACCAGTTTTCTCCAACCAACTCTGTCCTGGTCTTGCGTCTCCAGTTTGTCCAATGTTTGTTCATTTTTCTCATATCTTTCTCTATTTCTCAGCGTAATATGTTCCTTGGACTTCCTCTTTTCCTTTTGCCTTGAGGGTTCCATGTGAGGGCTTGTCTCGTTACGCAGTTGGGTGCTTTACGTATAGGCAAACTATGATCAATAGCAAACTAAAATAAACTGTGTTCATTTGACAAAATCGGAATTATTTGTCCATCATTAATCCAATTTTCGCATTTCTAATTACTAGATTAAAAAGAAATCATAATAGTGATGTTTGTTTTAATGAGGGAAGTATGTTTGTTTGTTAAAAACAAGATGTTGTCGATTCTTTGTTTGTGAATAAGAAACACGAAAGCATTGATTATAAAGTATCGGATGTCCATTAATTTAAATATCGTTTTATCAAAATTTACTTCATCATTAAAATGTTCATGTTTATTGTTATTGTTGTTGAATATTTTTTTTAGCTAAAACGATTTTGATCACTGTTCAAAGTTACTACTGCAGTGTTGTAATAAATCATCAGTGCACTACTACTTACTACTGTCTGTCATTGGATTAAATTTGTCAATGTTATTTACGCTTGTCTGTCTGTTTGTTTCAATATAAAAAAATCAATAAAATTATCCCGTTGATTCCTTTTGATTCATTTCATCATACATTTGATGCATCATGAGAATATGACTACATTCATCAAGAAAAAAAGAAAAATTGATCATTGAACTATATTTATTGATGCTTTCTGTTTATTCTGATAATATTTAATGTTCTGAAGTATTTTGCAATGATTATACTGTAATGTAACTTGCGAACACATTGATATTAAAAAAATATCTTGGTGAAAATAACGAAATTTTGTCATTGAATTGTTTTAATCAATAAATTGAAATTCAGTTTCACAGTAAATTCAGTATTCAATTCTAGTTATTGAATTTTGAAGATTTTGGTGTGATTTACTGAAAGATGACTTTTTTTTCTTAGATTGAATGTAATAGTGACTTTTGAAGTAAAGATTTTATTGAAATATACTGTGAATAAAGTTGTTTTTGCAGTAGTTTATTGATTGAAATTGAGTCATGTCTGTGTGAAGTTACCAATTGTTTTACATTCCGTATATCTGGCACAAATTCATGAATTCACTGACAACTGGAGTAAGCAATGCTGGTAAGTGTAGACTATCTGGATGGGGTCAGCGAGACGATAGTAATCGATGGCTAGAGACTTTGAATGACATTGCTCAAAATCGTTTGCGATGGTGCAAGTGCATCCACTTTTTGTGTTCTCTCAAATTCTAACTTTCTGACTTCCTCCTCATTACCTTTACTTTTCTCTTTTTAAATTTACCTCACTGGATTATATCTCTTGAATAATTTCTTCGAACCCTAATGTTCTCCATTACTGCTAATACTAGTACTACATCTAACACTATGGGATTCGAATTAACAATTGCATCTCTGTGCGAATGGGGTACGTTGTAAATGATATTCTATGTAACAAACGCTTTTATAGACGGAAAGTGGTAAGTGATGTCACATCTAATATTGCAATTAATAATATACTAAACACAGGTCTTTTGTTACGTTTAATATTGTAAGTAATAGAATGAATCAAGTGTTTTGAAAACATCCAACTGTGAAAAATTTATTCTTTGTACTGTGATTGAGCGGAAAATAAAACAGTGTTTATTCTGCTATTCAAGATATATTAGTATAAGAGCTGTTGGACGTTGAATTTTCGAAGTTTGCATCATTGATAACCGTTGTAAGCCAGAATATTTTGAACGCATGTTTAGTCCTAGTATGAGACTTCTCAGTAATGCATGTCAACAACTCCACCAACGAGGATTAATCCCAGGGTTTTTGTGCTTCAAGCTAACAGTTTAAACTTTATACCACTATTACTCAACGAATAGGGTACATATTGAACTTCAGTTAATTCCAGATACTGTTTAGTTATCAATCTCAGTGGTTTAACTCTCTTGTTTCCAGGTTCAAACTAGAACTCTTGGAATTACCCCTCAATACTAAGCAGTAATGAGCATATAAGTAGCAATAATACACACGTTAGAAAGAAACAACTATGCATCACTTTCTGGCTTTCAACACTTGTTTTACCAATATAATTCTGCGATGTAAACATCTGTTTATTCAGAAATCAGATGAAAAAGCATATTCATTTTTACAGCTGATTAGCCATTTGATTGTAAAAATTGTTCATATGAGCATGTAGTAAATTTTTAAAGACCAAACTTTGAGAAATTTAAAATTTCATCCATCTTTAGGATGTTTTGAATTTACTTACTTACTTACTTACACCTGTTACCCCCTATGGAGCATAGGCCACCGACCAATTTTCTCCAAACTATTCTGTTCTGACCTTCCCTTTCCAGTTCTTTCGAATTTTTGTTTATTTTTTCATATCTTTTTCTGTTTCTCGGCGTAATGTGTTCTTTGGCCTTCCTCTTTTTCTTTTACCTTGAAGGTTCCATGTGAGGGCTTGGCTTGTGACGCAGTTCGGTGCTTCACACAGTGTGTTTCCTATCTGTAAGATCCATTTTTGAAGGCTTTGTTTGTGAAAATCTCTTCATGTATACATTTTCGAATTGCCCTTATTGATTCCTTCAGTTCTACATTTTGTTAATCTGTTCAATTCCATTTTGAGATGATGATAATATTTGTATTTTATTATAGTTTCTATTTCTTCTGCTTTCACTGAATTTCTATGTTTCTTCTTGAACTGTATTTATGTTGTTTAAGCTGATACTTAGTCATGATGACAGCCATATTGATTTGTTCCTCTTTTGATTGTGTTGCTTGCTTTGACCGGAATTGTGCATTTTGATTGTGAATTGAAGTACTCTTTCAGAATAGGAAACACTCTGTGTTATAAAGCGACCAAATATTATCTTTCGAACGAATCTGATCTATTCAGAAAGGATAGAATAACATTTATTTGTTGCTGTTGATTTGAATAATTGAACAATTGTTGGTGGAATAACTGAGTGGTAATATTTGTTTTGGTAGTGATGTATATTTATATTTATGATGAATATTAGAACCGCCATTTACCCAAATCACTTGTTTTGATTTCAACTGGGCAAGACATATACTTAAACTATTTGGACAATTATTCCTTAGTCCAAACCTCAGTTTGGATCTTACACTATCCACTTCCACCGCTTCTTCCTGATTTCTTCCTTCGCTGGTTTATAGTTTTTTCTTTCCCACAGAAGATTATTGCTGATGGTGCCTGGCCAACAGATCCTCAGTATATTGCGTAGACAACAGTTAATAAATACTTGAATCTTCTGGATGATGGATTTAGTAGCTTTCGAAGTTTCCGTCCCATACAAAAGAACTGTCTAGACATTTGTATTGAAAATGCTGATTTTGGTGTTTATTGACAGTTGCTTTGAGTTCCGGATGTTCTTCAATTGTAGAAATGCAGCCCATGCTTTGACAGTCCGTGCCGTTACATCTGCCTCGGGTCCACCTTGATTGTCGAAGATGCCGCCCAGATAAGTTAAGTTTTTAATGTCCTCCAAGGCTTCTCCATCCAGAATGATTTAGTTGGCGCATGTTGTGTTGTAGTTTTAAATTTACTGAAATTATGTCAGTCTGTTGGAACGGTATTAAAAAAGCATTTTGATCATGATTATTATTTTGCCGAGATTTATTTTTTGTTAACTTTATTCTCTAATATTTCTCTGATGTTGAGCTTGTGAAGTGAATTTAAATTGTATGATATTAAGTAACTTCGCGGCATTTTGTTACTTTACGAAGTCAGAAAGAGAAGTTGATTGTAAACATGAATTTTGGTGTGGTAAAGTAATCTCAGCCTAATTTCAATTATTGCTGTGATTTCTTAAACTTTCAGTTAACATGTTACACACAACACAACCTGATTCACGCATACAACAAAACCATTGTGCAGTCTAGGTCTAAGTCGTAATTCGGATTATGAATTAACCGCAAATTTCAAGTTCAGATGTACAATGATTTTGTCAATGACTTTGAAAAATTAAATATCAAGTTTAGTGAATTTGTGTCTCCCATTTCAATGTATTGAGTGACTGACATATTTCGATAACCTTGAAATCATGAATAAATCATTGTCAAACGAAATATAGAAGCACTGGACGGCCGTTTCATTCTGATATGGGTCTCACTGGCAGTGAGCATCCACGACTATCACTACTCGTAGGAATCGAACCTGAGTATGAACGCTTAACCTCGCGACCAATGAGCCAAAATCCACTGGTGTTAATATCTAAATTTGATCAATTCACGATCTCGCGCAACCTCATCCACTGTATTCAAGTTAGAATACCGGGATAACAAAGCGTTATGAAATTGTTGGGACGAACCGGTTGTAACAATATTTACAGCTATTAGAAATGATTACAATTCAAAGATACAATACAGAAAAAATCTCATGAACTCAGTAAGTACTTTATTCTAAATAATTCACATTTTCAATTCTAGTAATATTCATCAAAAAAATACATAAATAAAATGACACTCATTGTCTACTTCAACATATTATGCTTAATATTACTATAGTTTAGAAACATTCAATTTCGCATGACAATTTAACAAGATTCATAATTGACCTTAACAATAATGATAGTAAGTAATATGCAACGAAGTAGATGTGAATAAAACTTCTCTGAAATATGTTCTTATCAACAACTAACTGTCAACACTTATTACTTACTTACTTACTTTCGCCTGTTACCCCCAATGGATCATAGGCCGCCCACCAGTTTTCTAAAATCAACTCTGTTCTGGGCTTCCCTTTCCAGTTCTGTCCAACTTTTGTTCATTCTTCTCATATCTTTCCCTATTTCTCGGCGTAATATGTTCCTTGACCTTCCTCTTTTCCTTTGGCCTTGAGGGTTCCATGTGAGAGCTTGTCTTGTGAAACAGTTAGGTGCTTTTCGTAGTGTGTGTCTTATCCACTTGCCCCGCTTCTTCCTGATTTCCAAATCCGCTGGAAATCAACACTTATATATTTACCTAATCATGTATAATAAATCAAACATATATTACTTAGTTTGCAATATAACTAATTAACCTCTTTGATAATTGCAGATCTCTTGTGAATTAATGTACTTCAATAATTCATCGTCATTTTAAAACAACTGAAATTTTAATAAACGTTCCTCGATATTCTTGTAATAGATTCATTCTTTCTTAATTTAATTTGCTTAAAATTTATGTTTACGCATAAATTATGTTTAGTTGAAAGTTTACTACTGGTTTCATCAAACTTCTTGAAAAATGCATTCATCATTTTGTCATCCAACTATGGAATCCCGTGCATTTTTCCAATTTCAACAGCTTTCCATTATGTTTCCTTTAACTTACTAGTTACATCCGATTAAAGCAATTCATCTTATTGCAGTTATCATATAGTTACTATAAAATATTGTATATTGGTTGATCATAAGTCTGCACGTTAATCTAACTGGATATATCACATAGAAAGGATCTATATTTTAACGAATGTGAACAGATTTTCTACTGATCAGTAAATTTTGAATCTTAATCAAACGACTATTCATAGACCGACGCGATAACGAGGGTTTACACAGATTCATGTGTTTTATTGTCACATAATATTTAAACAAATATTGATATTTGCAATTAAATCACGACACCCTAGAACCTATAAATTATCACATAGAAATAAGTTTTTTCAAAATATACACAATTTTTCAAAATAGATAAAACTTGAAATTAAAATTTATTGAAAAATAAATTTTGTCCATGAATATGATTGTATCTGAAATACTTTTTTTTCTAAACTCACTTATTTTGAGTTTTATTTTCTTTAATTAATTG